ATGAAACAACAATAAACATTTATTATCCCATACCATTTCTGTAGGTCTGGATTCTAGAGCAGCTTACCTGGGTGGTTCTGGCCTGAATCTTCTCACATGGTTGCAATCATAATGTCAGCTAGCGCTGTATGGCAGCTGGCTTGACTGGAGTTGGAGGATCTGCTTCCAAAATAACTCATTCACATAGCTATTAGCTAAGAGACTTCAGTTCCTTGCTCGTTATGGCAGGAGAACTAATTTCCTTTCCAATGAACAGCTCCATAGTGTTGCTTGAGTGTTCTTATGAAATGGCAGCTGGCTTTTTCTACAACCAGTGACTCAAGAAGAAGGATAAGGTATAAGCTGGAATCCGTTTTGCAATCTAGCCCTGAAGTCATTTGTGCAATATCTTACTGGTTACACCGGTGGGAGGTGACTACATGCAGCATGAATAATATGAGGCAAGACTCTGCAAACACAATGGTCAGTGACGAACTCCATATTTTTGTATTGTGTGGTTAGGTGGATTATGGTGACATCCACAAGATAATCAACAAAAGAGGGGCAATAATATTGTGGTTGGTTGGTTGGTTAAGTGTCTGTGTGTGTGTGTTTCTGGAAAGTACAAAGTAATACATTTGATTTTTGAAATTATCCAACAAATGCCTGGTTATATGCTTAGTAAATGTAAGAATACATTTAGTGATAGAAAAATTAATTTGGGTACCATTAGTATTTAAATGGGACACAAAACAGAAGAGCAACTGACAAAACTTTATAACTTGCCAACCTTATAAAGACATACCAAACTGGAAGCCCCATGTGAGAAACTTAGTAGAACTTTAATGCATAATGAAAAATAAATTTAACTGAAAATATTTCAAAGACCAAGGTCTGTGCTCTAGGTAAAATACCTTTAAATTGAAGAGTTTTTATCTCAGCACATTCAATGAGGAAAGATTTAGCCTGACTTGAAATAATTGGGCTTGATATTATCTCTCATAATAATGGCAATCATCAAGAATTCCCCGCACAGAATACATTCATGAAAGATTTAGAATTCATTTTATTTCTAATTAAATATTGTCTTTCTTTTTAATTCAGTGAATTTTTCATTTTGTAAAGATATAGAACAGTAATAAAATGATGTATATATATACATACATACACACATATTGATAGCCATAAAACAGAACAGCTTATAAAATACAATTTTATTATATAACCTGCTGTAGATAATGATCCGTCAACATCTTAAATATTATCAATCTAGTACAATATACACAATATACATCAGTGTACAATTGTAGTGATCATTATTGAAGGTCTTATAACATGTATTCCCCTCTACCAGAATCCTGACAGAATCTTGATTTAGATCCAACACTCAACAATCTCATTCCATGTACAGAATCTGATCTCTTAAGTCTTGGTGTCATGAGCCTGACTGGCTTATGCTAATTAGTATGTATGGGATACGGGATACTTGTCCACAAAAGTGGACAAGTGACATAAATGGATAATCAGGGGTGGAAATGGTATTTTGGAATACTGGAATACAAGGGTTCTCTCCAGTCCTTTGCAAATTGTTACATGCTTTTGTGGGGGCCAGAAATGCCTCAGCCATCTTGCTACTGGACTAAACATAGAGAAAAAGCATGGGTAAAGTCACAATAATTTCAAGTAAGTGAAGCATAAGTTATCGGCTTAAACCAAACCTGAAGCCTGATGTAAAATTTTATGTTGGTTATGTGGGGAAAAAAACGTGATTTAGTATTTAGGTCAGTTTGAGTTGTGTTTTCCTTCACTGGCTGTGGAAAACACCTTAAATCAACGTACAAAGTGTATGTGTGCATGTGTGTTTGTGTGTATTAGTTCCTAAACTTATGACATCTACATTTCATTTTTTTTTTTTTGAGACGGAATCTCACTCTGTCACCCAGGCTAGACTGCAGTGGTACAATCTTGGCTCACTACAATCTCTGCCTCTCGGGTTCAAGCAATTCTCCTGCCTTAGCCTCCTGAGTAGCTGGGATTATAGGTGTGCATCAATACACCCAGATAAATTTTGCATTTTCAGTAGAGACGGTTTTTCACCATGTTGGCCAGGCTGGTCTCAAGCTCCTGTCCTTAGGTGATCCCCCCCACCTCGACCTCCCGAAGTGCCAGGATTATGTGAGCCACCACACCCTTTAAGTCCAAGGGTACATGTGCAGGTTTGTTACTTAGGGAAACTTGTGTCATGGGGGTACATATACACTTAACTACATATATATATATATATATATTTAACTACAATGAGATGCCATTTCATACCGGTCAGAATGGCTATTGTTAAAAAGTCAAAAAATAACAGATGCTGTCAAGGTTGTGGAGAAAAAGGAATGCTTATACACTGTTGGTGGGAATGTAAATTAGTTCAACCACTGTAGAAAGCAGTGTGGTAATTTCTCAAAAAGCTAAAAACAGTACTTCCATTTGACCCCACAATCCCATTACTGGGTATATAACCAAAGGAATATAAATCATTTTATCACAAAGACACATGCATGCATATATGCATCGTACCACTATTCACAATATCAAAGACATGGAATCATCCTAAATGCCCATCAGTGGTAGACTGGATAAAGAAAATGTGGTACATATACACCATGGAATACTATGCAGCCATAAAAAAGAATGAGATCATGTTCTTTTGTAGTAACATGGATGAAGCTAGAGGCCATTATCCTTAGCAAACTAATGCAGGAACAGAAAACCAAATATCACGTTTTCACTTTTAAGTGGGAGCTAAATGGTGAGAACACATGGATACATAGTGAGGAACAACACACACTGGGGTCTATTGGAGGGTGAAGGGTGGAATTGCTTAAAATTATATATATATTACATAAATTGTATATAATTTGCTAACAGATAATAAAATATCCACATAACAATCTGTATGCTGTATCTATTCATCATCTCATGTAAAAATAGTAACCGGTTTGTACTTTTTTTTGTAAATAAAGAATTTTAGTTCAATAAAAGAATTTACACTTTTTTACTCTATATTTGAATGCTCGAAACAACTTTTTCTCTATACTTCAGTTGACTCTTTCTTCTTCTTTGTGTATCTCCTAACCATATTCAAATGAGTCAACTTATGCTTGTAGAACCATTAACAAAATGCAAATCATAAATCTTATAATTTAAATTTAGACTCCAGTAGCATAATATACACTAGGGAAAGAGTTTTCAACTTTTTGGGAATTGTTAACTCCTTTTTATTTTTTACCATTTAACCATTTTTATTATTTATTATTATTTTTTGAGATGAAGTCTTGCTCTGTCACCCAGGCTGGAGTGCAATGAATGGTACGATCTTGACTCACTGCAACCTCTGCCTCCCGGGTTCAAGTGATTCTGTCTTGGTCTCCCAAGTAGCTGGGATTACAGGCGTGTGCCAATACTTCTGGCTAATTTTTTGTGTCTTTAGTAGAGACAGGGTTTCATCATGTTGGCCATGCTGGTCACAAACTCCTGACCTCAAGTGATCCACCCATGTTGGCCTCCCAAAGTGCTGGGATTATAGGTGTGAGCCACTGTGCCCAGGCTATTTTATTTTTAATTGATGAATAATATATATATTCATGGGTACACCCTGATATTTTGATATATGTATATGTTACAGAAAATTAAATCAAGACAATTAATGTATCTATCACCTCACCTACTTATCATTTTTTTGTGGTGAGAAAATTTGAAATCTACTCTTTTAGCAATTTTGAATTATACACTACATTATTATTAAGTGTAGTCACCATGCTGTGCAGTATATCACTAAACTCTTTTTGTAAATATAATGAAAGGTGCTGGCCGTCTTCTAAGTAGGAAAAATATATAATACATCAATACACACAATAATTTGTACACAATACTTGATTCTCAGGCTGAGTAATGTCAATAGGGTATCATTCACTCAATACCAAGATACAAGTTAAGAGAAAAATCATAATTAATGAACATGTTTCAAAAAAAATTAAATAGGTCTGACAGATATCCCTATTCTTCAGTGAGGGAAAATCTATCATCAAGTTCTTGGTTTGCAACACTGGCGTGGAGGGATGAAATGTTAGCTCAGAGATGATGACTATAAGCTCGTGCATTCTAGTATCCCTGAAACATGTGACTTGTATAAGTTTTGTAACTGATTCTAATGCTGGATTTGTTTTAATTTTGCGTATTCAATGTTAGAACTTTTCAAAGATACTCACATTGTATATATTAATATATGATTTATGTAAAAGAGTCTATACTTAAATACCCTGAAGGGGAGAATTAATTTGCATTCATCACACCTAAGACAAATAGTATGAGTTACTTTTGGAAACACTGTAACACACATTTGTTCAAGTTTCCGATAATAAAACTGCACATAGATATGAACACTAAGGCCAAATTAACAAAATGAAAGGCACATAATTCAATTGTGAGTATGTTGCAATCTTAAAGTTTGACATCTATAATAAAAATTAGGAGAATTTGATAAATTTTCTCTTTGATATCCCATAAATGTTTTATAGGTGAATGTGCTGATTGTTATAGTCAGAACCCCTTTTATTAGATGACCAGCAATGAAAATTAGCATATATATTCAGACCACTTTGGGCATTTTTATTGCCCAAACCCCTCTTCTAAGTTTATGAATCCCCCATAATGTTTTCACATATAATTTTATACCAGCATGTGGTTATACTATTTTGAGGAAGAAAACCAAACCTTTTGGCTTTGTAATCTATAATAAGGAGTTAAAATGTATTAAGGAAACAAAAGCTTTTTCTTGTGATAAAGAATTGTCTGCTGCTTCTGTGGTGGTGTTATGTAATAAGAACACGAATAATAAAAATATTAATAATAAATCTGACTTATTTATAGTGCATTAACAACTGGACAATTGGAGGGAGACACATAAAGCAGGAAAAGTGTCCTCTAGCTATTTTCTCTATAGACTAGCATTGCTTTTTTTTTTTTTTTAAATCTAAGAAATTTTATTGCTTAGAACCTTCCCTCCCTAGGCAATGGCAGGAGCTTTGGAGACCAGCCCTTGGAGACAGAGTCAGAGGCACCTGGGTGGAAAAAAGAGCGAGCATGTGGCACATTTGGTCCATTGTCGCGTGTGGGTATGGCTGGGAGAGGGGACTCTAGAAGGCCCTGCATCTAGGGCCTTCTAGGGACCCAGATAGGCCTCCTTGGGCAAGGATCATATGCCAAAGCAAAGCAGACAAGGCCAGCTAGGCTTGGGGCGAGAGCTTAGTGCCTCAGCCTTGCCCTGGGGTTCTTGGACCTTCCAGAAACTAAGCCACATCAGACCCACGTTGATGGCATAGGTAGTGATGCAAATGATGCAGAAATCATAGAGCATGAAGAACAGCGTCCAGGCCAGGTAGACTGAATCAGTGAGAGACACCGGGGATCTCAGCAGCAGCAGGACAGAGGCCCAGAGTGTCCTCAGGCAACCTAACAACAGCTGTGGCATGTAGAAGATGCAACGGAATATGCTATTGGATTGATTGAGGATGCTGCCCTTTCCCAGCACCTGCTCCACCAGCCTGAGGCCCATGCCCCACCTGGAGAAAATACGTGAACAGCTGATGGCGGTGCCCACGTTGCAGAGCGCGTGGTAATATGGGTCCCATGGGCGCGCCGCCTTCACGTGCAGTGCATAGAACCAGAGCACTAAGTCAGCCAGGAAGAGCATGAGCTGCACCCAGCCAGGGCTCCCCCAGGTGCTGCCCACATCTCCAGGTCCCGTCTGAGGCGCCCACGGAAAAAACCAGCCACGGAGCAGGGATGGGGCCGGGCCTAGCATTACTTTTCTTCTGATTAACAAATTTGTACATGAATGAGAAGAATAGTTAAATTGTTTAGAGCTTTAAAGTTTTCTTATTCAATATTTAAGTTTAGGTTTTTGGTATTAGACTGCCAATTTATAGGGAATTTTTAAATAGAGAAGGAATAATTTTAGCTATTCCTGGGAAAGACTGTTAGTATTTTTTAACTCACAAATTAAAACTGTAACTTTGATATACAAAATAATGTTTGGATATATGTATACACTGTAAAGTCACTAAACTAGGGAAATTCACATAATCACTACTCACATATTTATCATTTATTGTGGTTAGAACATTTGAAATATCTGTGGTATCGATTTTTAAGTATACAATAAATTGTTATTAATTATATTCGCCATGTTGTATAATAGATATTCTGAATTTATTCCTCCCATCAAACAGAAATTTTGTCTCCTTTGACCAACATCTCCCTAATACTTGCCTCATCCTTAGTCTTGGGTAACCACCATTCTACTCAATATATCTATGAGTTCAACCTTTTTAGATTCCACATATAAGTGAGATTATGTAGTACTTGTTCTATGCCTGCCTTATTTTGTTCAGCTTAGAGTCCTCCTGGTTCATCCACATTGTTACAAGTGACAGGAATTCCTTATTTGTTAAGGATGACTAGCATCCCATTGTGCGTATGTACCACATTTTTGATATCCATTCGTGTTGATGAACACTTAGGTTGAATCTACGTCTTGGTTATTGTGAACATGGAAGTGCAGATCTCCCTTCGACATATTGATTTCATTTACTTTGGATATATACCCAGAATTGGAATTATTGGTCATATGGTAGCTGTAGGTTTAGTTTTTTGAGGAAGCTTCATACTGTTTTCCATAATGGTTGTGCTAATTTATCTCCATACCAACAGTGTAAAAGGGTTCCTTTTCACATCTTCACCAACATTTATCTCTTGTCTTTTTTTTCTAAGAAAGAAAGTAAGAAAAAGAGAGAAAAGAAGAAAGAAAAGAAGAGAGAAATCAAGAAAAAAAATGAAAGGGAGAAAGAAAGAGGAAGAGAAAGAGGGAGAGAGAACGGGAATCTTGCTCTATTGCCCAGGCTAGAATGCCGTCTAAAAGTGGGTATTAAAAACCTCTTTTATGCCAATAAATGTGCTTAACAATGGAGACAGGAAGGAATAAGAGAGGAAAATAACAAACAAGCAGCCAACCAATATTTCATTTAAACCTGTGAAATGCTATGCAATCACTGAGGAGTGATTTACTTCCAATTATGTGGTCACCTTTAGAATAGGTATGATGTGATACTGAGAAAAATGTATGTTTTGCGGATGTGGGGTGGAGAGTTCTGTAAATGTTTGTTTAAGTTTACTTATTCCAGTCTTGTCTTTTTTAAAAATAATAAGTATTCTGACAGATGTGAGGTGATATCTCACTGCAGTTTTGATTTGCATTTCTCTGATGATTAGTGATGTTGAACATTTTTTCATATACCTGTTGGCCATTCACATGTGTTCTTTTAACAAATGTTTTTCCACGTTCTTTGCTCATTTTTAAGTGGGTTTTAAAAAGATCCCAGATAACCAATGCAATGTTGAACAAAAAGAATAAGGCTGAAGGCATCACATTACTTCAATCTACTCAAAGACCTCACAATCTACTGCAAAGCTATAATAATCAAAAGAGCACAGTACTGGCACAAAAACAGACATATAAACCAATGTAATAGAGAGCCCAGAAATAAATCCATGCATTTACAGGGAAATGATCTTCAGGAAATGTGTCAAGAACACACAACTGGGGAAAGGCAGTCTCTTCAATAAATGATGTTGGGAAAACTGGATAACCACATGCAGAATGAAAGTATACCCATATCTCACCTCATACACCATAGTCAACCAAAAATGGATTCGAAACTTAAACATAAAACCTGCAACAGAAAAACGGAAAAACTGCTAGAAAATAAAACATAGAGAAAAAGCTTTTTGACATTGGTCTTGGCAAAGATTATTTTGGATACAACCCAAGAGCACAGACAACAAAAGCATAATTAGACAAATGGGATTGAATCAAACTAGAAAGCTTATGCACAGCGAAGGAAACTTCAGAGTGAGAAATAGGAGAAAATATTTATGAACCATACATCTTATAAGAGGCTAATATCTGAAACACATAGGGAACTCAAACACCTCAATAGCAAGATGTCAGTATTTTTAGCACATAGATACATTTAAGGGTGAACATTTATCTTAAAGAGGGACACATCAAGTTTTGCTGTACATCTTAATTTTTATAGTATTCTTTGCTTGTTTATTATACAGTTGACCCTTGAACAATATGGGGGTTAGGTGCACCAAACCCCCGTGCACTAAAAAATTTGAGTATATCTTTCGATTCCCCCAAAACTTAACTGCTAATAACCTACTGTTAACCAGAAGCCTTACTGGTAACACAGTCAACTAACACATATTTTCTATGTTATATGTATTATATACTGCATTCTTACAATAAAATAAGCTAGAGAAAATAAAATGTTATTAAGAAAATCATAAGGAAAAGAAAATATATTTACTATTCATTAAGTGAATGTGGATTATCACAAAGGTCTTCATATTCATCATCTTCACGTTGAGTGGGCTGAGGAGAAAAATGGAAAAGGAACATTTGGTCTTGCTGTTTCATGGGTGTCAGAGGCAGAAGAAAATCCATGCATAAGTAGATCCACGCAGTTCAAACCCGAGTTGTCTAAGGGTTAACTGTACAGGAAAACATACATGAAATGGCCTATTAGATAATAAAGCAAGATTATCTCTGTTAACAAAATCTAAGACATGAAGATAATCCCAAAAGCATCAATTTCTGCATTTCCATGTTATATGAAAAAAATTCTTACTCAAATAAAGCGGTTGAATATTAGATGAGAGTTTAAGTCAGTGATTTTATTCTTGGAAGAATCACTGTGGAATACTAAGAACAAGTGTTTTTTTAAAAAACTTAGTATCTGTGCTTCCATGAACCTCCATTTCTTTCATAGATTTGAGCTACCGCTATTATTTTACCACCTGATACTTTTTTGACATTCATGCAGCAAACATTTCAAATGGCACATTTGAAAGGGTAGATGGCTAAAAAAAATATATGATCCTCTTCTCTTCTTTTCACAGTAATCACAACTTGGCCTTTGATCTGACTTGAGATTCTTCACCTTCTCTACAACACAGTGGGAGGAGGCTTCTTCTGCTAGAATTAAGTAGGGCAAGATGCCATGTGGTAGTAATAACTGCTTCCATCTCTCTTAATGTGGAGTCTTTAGACATCAATTATTTGATAAAGACAGATGTATAATACATTTTCTGGATCTTATCTCCTTTTTTTCTGCCTGCTAGCATATTATTCTTTTCTTTAAAAATTTCATGTCAGTGAACAGGAACAGAATATTTTACAGGAAAATTTCAAAGAGTTTTTTTGTAAAGATGCACCCCTAGTGACGAAGTGTTTGTGCCATGAATGATAAGGGTAGTTTCCCTATTGTTCACACAGCAGGTTGCCATCTTTTCCTTCTTAATAGGGAAAGGTCTTATCCTTAGCAATGCTGCATGAGTTTTTCAGTTACTTGGCAACAATAATAAAAAAAACACAAGCAGTAAAGGGCTCATCATCAACATCATGACAAATAGTAGTGCCTCAGCTGGTTTTAATGGCCATATGGAGACATTAAATTTCTTGTTTTCAAGAATTAAATCCATTGCATATGATCAGACTAAGCCCTGGTATGTGCAAAAATTTGAAACATTTCAGCTGTTGTATTTAAATTAGTATGTAGAAAAAAGTGAATAAGTATGAGGCACTTGCCTGAATAAAGCATCCACAATGCACAAGACAGACATAGATTTTTTCTAATTTAAATATCAAAATACATATTTCAGGCACATTCTTACAATCATGGACAGTTAATATTATGAAGCAATCTACTGTATGTATGATAATGCCTGCTGTTAAGGAATTAACAAATAGAAAGAAATACTTTCTTAAGAAATACTGCCATTAATAAGCAGAGTTAAAACCAATCAGAATGTGGGGGAAATCCAATATGGCATCCAAACACTAAAAAATAAAAATACCTGTAATAAATGTGGAAAACATGACCATACTGAATGCAGGAGGGAAAAGAACTAACCTAAATAACTTTGGAAAATGGGAAGTTGATGGAATACTGTAAGAATAAAGACAAGAAGAATTGTGCGCAAATGGTGTTATCTAGTCAGTAAATGTGTTTCTTATGAGGGTATTGGGGTAGACATCCTGAAATGAGTTTGTGTCTACTAGAATTGAATGAATAAGTAAATGTTTAGAAGATAATAAAAATTCGGTGCCTTACTGCTGTAGAAGCCAATTATAATTAAAGAAAGGGAAAAGACTAAAATGATCCCTGTGATGTCGAATTGGAATCTGAGGTATCAGTATGAACTCATTATGCATATACATACACAGGTATATAAAAATATATATGTGTGCATATGGGCTAATATACAAATATTTCCTAGTCCTGTCTGCTGAGAGGCATAGAAACCATAATGCCCCTGTAGTAATTAGCATACCTGGTGCCCAGATCTTGGTTTCTAAGCACCATGTCTCTATAAAGGAATCACAGATCCTTGGAAAAGTGGTTCGTTCCAGGGCCCAGATAGAGGAAATCAAAAGGAGCTTGAAACACCTTGTGGTACCAGAAAAGTGAAAGTTCTCAAAAAATACAGGAGGAGGTTGTTGAAAAAGCACAGAAGCCAACCTGAAGGAACTCCTAATGGCCAAAGCTTTGAACAACAGAATAACTAATGAGAGTATCAGATAATAACCCAAATAATAAATATTCATAAACCAATGGTGATGAAAAA